GATAGAGAAAGAAATTTTTCAAACTATTTATGCAGTCAGTCAATTAGAACAAACTATGTGACTGACTGGCTGACTGCTTGTAGCCAAAATCAGAATCTCAATTGAATCTCACTCACTGAAAACGAATGGAATACCATCACAATGGGCGACGACGACGTTCAGTGGTCTGTCCAATCATCATCATCGTCATCATCCATCGGATCACCGCCATTTACGCAATCAGAAATTATGTGTCTAGCAGACAGTCTCAGTCAGTTCACCGGCAGTTGTCAATGAGTCGTCACGTCAGCTCAACAGCAGCAGAAAAAAAAAAAAAGGTGCAGTTCTTACGCCAACCGATGTTCAATGCTATTTAAGGACGACGATAAGGGTGGGAATAAGGAGAAAGAGAAGAACAACGGGGCAGCAGTCTTAAAGGATTCATTGAAAACAACAGTTGAGTAAATCACTCAGTCAGTTCGTTAGTTAGTTAGTTAGTTAGTCAGTTGGTTAATCACTTAGTATGGCTGGATCGATGTTATTGTTGTTGTGAATTATGCTGCCGTTGTCAGTGTTAAGGAGAATGTCTTCAAAATAGCATTTTTTTTATCTGTTTATTTTTTTTTTTTCAGCTACGGTACTGATATCAATTTTTGTTATTTATTTGTTTATTCACTCATTCATTGATTCCCCATTTTATTCTATGTATTTATCTACACTTATTTATTGATATCTATTTGTTTTTCACTTGCTCTACAGCAGAAAGGAGAAAAAAACAGCAAGCATTTAATTGAATATTGGCTTATTCTTTTAGCTCAGAAAAAAAAAATCAAAAAAATAAAAAAATAAAAGGAGAGGCAAGGAAACAGCAAAAATGGCTGAAGCTTTTCAACTTCATAATTGAACCTTTATATTTGGAAAAAAAAACATTTCTTTCTCCCTTTTTCTTTTTTTATTTATTTATTCTTAACAACTAACAGCACCACCACACATTTTAACAGCAGCAACAAAAACAACAAAGACAACGACGGCGGCGACGACGACGACGACGACGACGACGACGACGACAAAAACAACAACGGCGGCAGCAGCAACAGCAGCAGTAGCAGCAATCCCAATAAAGTTTTGTCCAATTAGACAAAATAGAAAAAAAAAAAGCAGCTATATCAAAAGTTTGTTCTGAATTCTTTTTCTTTTTTTTTTTAAATATCCCAAACAAAACAAAAAATTGTTCAATTATAGGTCTTCAACTATGCATAAAACTGTTGAACAAAAAAAAGAAAAAAAAAAAATGTATTATCAACTCAATAATGACAACAAAACGAACACACACCCCATAATACCCAACCAACAATAGTAGACACATTTTCCACCACGTTGCCACAGTCGGTTTCCAGTAGCCGCCGCAGCTGCCGTCGCGATCACTTTTTGAACCATCCTATTTGCTGCATGTAAAATTAGTTATAAATTCGAAGTTTGACCCGTCTGCCCTCCCTTGTCGTCTACTTACCCCCCTTGTTCCTCTTCCTTCTTCTTCCTTCCTCCTCCTTACCTCTCTCCTCGCTCTTCGTCACATTTGAAAAAGTTTAAATATTAAAAAAGTTTAACCAAAAGAAAAAAAAAAAGCAGAAGAAAAAATGAGATGAAGGAGTAAAGTTTTTTTTTGCTGAAATTTTTAACATCACCACAGACACACACAGACACACACACAGAAACGAAGCAATTGAAGTGAAATAAAAACAAACCTCCTTTCCTCCCACCTGTCAAATTGTCGTTTATTTTTCTCTCCCCTCTTCCTTTTCTTTTTTAATGTTCATCTTTATCTCTTCGTTTTTTTTTTTTTTTCATCCTCCGCTCTGTTCATCCCACTTTCCTCAACTTTATTCGCATTACTCTTTTCCTCCCTTATTTCT